ACGAGTTCACTAGAGCTAAGCAAAGTACAGGGTGATGCATCTCTGCAGTCTATATAAAGCTATGAATTGAATCGGCGGTGCGATCGTGTTTGGAAATTAATGTTGGTGTCGTAGATGAGCAGAGGAAGGTGAAATTTGCCATGATGTTTTACGTTCCAATACATTGCGTTACATTCCGTACGCATTGAGTTTTATTTCAGCGTGTTTTAGTTCATTACGGTACATTTCATTATATACGTGTCTTTTTGTGACGTCACGTTTCATTGGGCATTATTTCATTCCAGTACGTTTCATTTCATTACAATTAGTTACACTGCATTTTCCCTCGTTACGTTTCATAACCCTTATTTTCCTTACGTGACATTTCATGATGATACATTTCAGCAGGTGTTCTTTCGTTCCATTATATTGCAAAAACCTTTCATTTTACGATGTTACGTTTCATTGCATTATATTTCACACGAATTCCTTTTAATATATATAGTTTATTTTATTTAATTTTATTTAATTTTCTCTCTTTAAATTTTATCGAATCACACTTCGTTACGTCCCAGTTCATTATGGGATATCTCATGCAGCTGTTCTATTTCATTCGACAGGATGCTATGTCATACAACAAATTTAATGTTCTTCACTGGCATATTGTGGATGATCAGTCGTTTTCCTACGAAAGTATACTCTTCCCCGAGCTCTCGGAAAAGGTAACACCCACTGAAATCACCAAAAATAAATCCTTTTGCATCGAGTAATAATTAGAGTCGGTTATGACGTGTTTGCATTATAGTATCAGGAGTGAACAATAATAGATTATTATTAATAATAATTATTAATAATCATTATTAAATAATTAATTAATTATTATAATAATAATAGTAATTATTATTATTATTATTATTATTATAGATCTATTATTATTCACTCCTCATAGTATTATACTCAGCAGCATTACTGTATACCTAGCGCGACTCTGTCACGCTGTCATTATCACTCGGGAGAAACACAAAACATTCGTCGCCGAAAATTATCGTGTTACCTATAAGAGCGTTCGTGTTTGTGTGCCTCGTCCACAGGGTGCATATACGCCGGACAAAGTATACACGCAGAAAGACGTCGCCACACTCATTGAGTATGCGCGGCGGCGTGGCATTCGCGTAATACCCGAGTTCGACACTCCTGGACACACACATTCCTGGGGAAAGTCCCATCCCGGTACGTCCTGCGTGCACACGGACGCAAACATTGACTGTGCACTCACTGCGCATCGGAAACACGGTTGCGTAGGTGACGCCTACACGTTCCGGTGTTTGCCCGAGACTAATAACGTCATGCGGAATATTCTGGATGCTCTCGCAGCTTGCATATGAAATGGAGAGTCACGATGTTTTGCTCAAACAGCAGGGGAGAATTTACTAAACTGACATAGCATTCTGTGGGAATCTATTCACGTTAGGATTTAATTTGAGTGATTGTTCATATTATGCGCCACGACATGAAATGATTTTCTCGCAACGTCATAACTATAATAACGTAATTGAATGAAATAACATAATCGTCGACGCAAAATGCCGACGAATCTACTTTCCCAGGTCAGCGGTGTCGCGTGTCATCATCTATAGACTGGCGCATCACGCGCGCGCCGTTATCGTTGCAGAGCTGCTAACGCCGTGCTATGGACAGCCTCAGCAGAAGGAGACGGCCATCTATGGCATGCACACGGAGCGACAGATCATGAATCCCATCCTGAACGTCACCTACACGTTTCTGAAGCATCTCTTCTCGGAGGTCGTGCGCGTGTTCCCCGACGAATACGTTCATCTAGGAATGGACGAGATCTATCCGGCGTGCTGGTACTATATTTCATTTGTCACGCGCGCGGGGGGGCGTTGGCACACACACACACGCACGCACGCACGCACGCACGCACGCACGGACACACATCGTGTTGTCGCGGAATCAATTTAAATTTATACACGGGGCGCCAAACGATACGCATCTGTGACGCGATTTGCAGTAATTTCACCGCGCGCGTCGCATGCATGTCACCGCGCGCGTCGCATGCATGCATGCTGCACATTCCGTGGCCCGTGTTCGTGGTCGAACTAATGTCACGTGAACGGGCGCGCAATTAATTATACACGCAACCACTTATTTGTGCGCGAAAAAAATACATTAGCGCCTCTAGGTATTTGGTACGCATTAAATTTTTATCCTTTCATTTTTAAATGCTGCGAAGCGTTTTCCGCATATTTTCTCTGTGAAGCGGCCATCCCCAAGGAAAAATTTCGATTTGCCATCTCGATTCGTAAAGTTGCGTCGCGTCGACGCATTGCGAGATTTGCGTAATTACGATCGCCAGGTGGCAGCTAAGTCGCTCATTAACACCATGATCCGTAGCCTACTATCCTGATTATTTTGAAGAAAAATAATATATTATTATTATTAAAAAACATTTTTATTATTCTCCCCTGTTTATATAATAAACATTGTAAGATGCACTCAAGCGATGCCAGCTCAGTTAGGATGTGCTGGGGCTGGGCTATTTGGGATCCATTACCGAAACTGTACGAATGAAATATTCACATGCACACGCACACGCACATGCACACGCACACCCACCCAGGTACACGCGCAAACGCACACTCACCCATGGTAAACACGCACGAAAGCACGTTCGCGCGCGCACATATATTTATGTCGTTTGGTAAAGTAAAGCATGGTATGGTCTAAAAACTAACCAAACATAAACTACTAAGTCTACGTCTGTGCGTTCGCAGTTCGCGATGAACCTAACGTACATCTCGGACTTCCCGCGCTTCAAGCACAGAGGCGTTCTCATCGACACGGCCAGACACTACCAGCGAATGAAGGTCCTCAAACGTACGCTGGTAAGTAACACTGTAAGAACCCCCGTAAGTACGCTGTAAGAACCCCCGTAAGTACCCCCGTAAGTACGCTGTAAGAACCCCCGTAAGTGTAGTTTTTTTCTTAAATTTCAGCCTTCATATTGCCAGTGAAAACAAACCCATTCATTGCTTCTATTTCAAATAATTTTTTGCATCATTTTGTGCGATATTTTATAATTTACATGTATATATTGTATATGTATTTATACTTGAATTGAAAATTTTCCTTTACAGTTACAATTGTAACATATACACCTTATACACAGGTATATGGTGTATATTATATATATATATATATATATATAGATAGATATATATTGCGATAAATATTGATCATATACAACCCCTTTTCACCGCTTTAATTATGTATAACTTTAATGCTTGATGCTGGTTCAAACTCTGAAAGCGGCATCGCTTAGCATTGCTCGGATGTCGAGCTCTTAAAGATTTCTCATACGGAAAAGCCACGAGGGACAGTGTTTTACGGGCAAGGTTTTATACGTATCAAAACTTCAACCGATGGCTATCGCGACGTCTCGCATGGAATTTCAAATTTTCTCGGAAACAGCTGTAGCATGAAATACGCGTAAGATGAATTGCGGGCCAATGAATTATGGACGTTTCGGGACTACGCGGAAAGCCGGCCGACACGCGCCGTGCGATATGCACGCGTTACTATAGAGGCATGTAAAATATTTTGAAAGCTTTCGCACGAAACGAGGAATTCTTTTATTGATCAGGTCGCGCGAGCGCTGGTGGGCGGCGGTGCGAAACCAGTAGGCCTACGACGGGCGACATATTCAGTAATGCGCGTCGCACGGGGCATTTATACGCTTACGGCTTAATTATGTTTAGTCCGTGTTGTTTCAGTCGTCGTTGCATTTTTGCGTATCGGGCGATCGAGGAGATCGATGCGTATGGCGTAACCACCCTCCACACAATAACGCCATTACGAAACACAAGCTCTGAATGCAGTGTGAGTGAGTGCGGTGGCAGTGGACAATGCCGCGTGCGGTAACTCGCGTACGTGGACCGTGCCAGTGCGAATCGATAACATCCTGCTACGAACGTGTATAGGCGACATTGACGCCGTTAGCAATATCTGTTCGTTATTACCGTTCATTATCACGCGCGCTATTCAGACACGCTATAGATACTCGGCGCTCGAGCACTCTCGTGTCATCTATATATTGCGCGCTGCGATAGAGAGCCAGCCTTTTCAGAATACTATGAATATTCTGCCTTTAAAAGTACATTACATACGCTTTGGGTTTCGCGCTGGTATGACCAACTATTGTATTTAATATAAAACGTGCCGCGGCCCACTACTTTAGGAAGCTTATACGTGCTTCCATCCATCTATACGCGTTTTACTGTTATAAACGTTATGGAAAAAAATGCTGTTTAATATAAATGCCTGCATCGTGTTGACATGAATCCTATATTAGTTGTGTGTGTATATATATAGCATCGTGTATAATGCAATATTGTCCAACACACCGTTGAAACAGTCAAGGGGCAGCAAGAAATATTGCTCGATGTTTAAGAAACACTTATTTAAGTTTGTACTCATTTTGTGCGTAGCTGGAACTATAGGAACTAGAGCTAGCATTGAAACTGAAAGGTGCATGTCGCCACCTGTGATTCGATCTATAATTCAACGTTATAGTAGTATTTAATACAATAACTCAGTGGTCTAACATCAGGCATGGCCAGATTTTATTCCGAAACTAACGAAGTCGCCCGTGTACTAAGAAAAGGTTTCTTGTAACTTGTCGGGAAAATGAAGCACGCATTGAACGACGCATTATAATTCTACGCTGCCATGCTCAAAGATTCACGTTCTTATTCAAATTCTCCAAAGCCCTTCGGATAGGGATGTACAAGTTACTAATGCATATAGAGTGGGAATACAGTGCTATCCTGTGGAATGCGCGTACTTTTGATGTCGTTTGAGAAATTCTGTCTTTTTATGCAGCAGCAAGTTTCTCTGTGTCTGATACCACGTTTCTAGCTGTCACGGGCATGTGATGACGATGAGATCACAAAATAATTGGTACATATTTAGGGTGTTTTTAAGACCCCCGCCCCCCCCCC